AAAACATGCCAGGTGGACCAGTTTTCTTGTGGAAATGGACGCTGCATTCCCAGAGCATGGCTGTGTGACAGGGAAGATGACTGTGGTGACCAGACAGATGAAATGGCATCGTGTGGTAAGTTGTGAGTGAACCATGGTGTTAGTAGAGACTGTATCAGATAGGAGATTCTATCACTATATTCTCTTAAAAGGCTATTCATTTCCTGATAAATATGAGTCAACAAAGCAGAATATCTGTTACTTCTTATTACTGCCGTTTGGTTATAAGTATGTCTTTTCATGATAACTTCATAATATATCCCATTTATGAGGCAGTACCATATCCTTGGCTAAAATAAATGGATCCAAATGTAGCAGATTTTATAAGGAAGTGGCTATTATAAGGCTAACAAAACATTCTCAGATGTTCATTATTAATCTTATGTCTATATGATTACATTTTTCAAACAGAATATTTCTTTGAGTGACATCTGGAGTAAATACGGAGGGCATGTTTCTTGTTGGCATGAATATGTTATATTCTTGGGGCAATTAACAATACAGGCTGAGGTTACATAGTTAGTAAACTATGTTTTATTAATATAAAGGACAAATGGTTACTAGTTTAAGAAATTTTATTAATGACAAACTTCCTAGTCACTTTTCACTGATTCGCCTACTTTGAAAACAATAAAAATGTATAATTACATAAAATTACAGCTTTAATTACTCTCATTTGTACCTATATGTCAGAATATTTTATTATCATTTGTCTCAATAATGTATAGTGAAACCAGATTTTCAGTGGCATGTGCTTTATTTCAGGCATGGCTGAGGATTTTTAAAATTACTATGATGTAACATATGCTTAGGATATCTGTTAAAAATATAACACAATTGATTATATATTTTAAATAATTTAACCTCATGTTATAGTACTTCTAACAGTTGGCAAATAAGATACCCCTTTCCTGCAATTTAAATGTTTTTATTTAGGGGATGCATAATCTGTTTACCTTTACCTTTTATTTAAATTTTTTCTTATGTAGACTATTAAATCCCTGTAGACATTTGAGTTTGTAATGTCTGAATGAAGTATAAGTCAAGTAGTAAAATTTGACATTTTAAATTGGTCAATAGCAGTGTTGGAGAAGAAAGCTTTAGAGATTCACACAATAACAACTAAGTACATTTTACATGTAGAATTTCCAAAGCCTGGCCAATAAAGGGGGTTAAACAATATATACTCTCTTCTTTCAAATGTCCAGACTGGTTCAGAAAATTGCTGGGTGTGCTTCTAGGTGGCTCTATTTTCTTAGGAGAACTTTATTTATTTTCTGTTCTTAGCATCTCCATCCAGAGTATACCAGAAAGGTAATAGGCATGCTCAAAATATTTAATATAGAAAAGCCCTGGAATCAGAGTCCCAATTTAGATAAGAAATGCTATGAAAAAAATGTAGAGTAGGAAAATAAATAATGAGTTCATTAGAGAACTTTTATTAGGTCTTTGATCTGTCTTATTTTTAGTAATAAGTCTAGACTAAGACCTTTTTCTTTATTTTAATGATAATTTATTTGACTTTTTCAGTCAAGATGGTGGTATAGGTAAACACTGTGCTTTCTTCCACTCATTACCACCTCAAAATTGCAACCTAACTATAGAAAGACCATCACTGAGAATTGCCTAAAGTATAGCTGAACAAAAGTCCTACAACTAAGGACATACAAAAGAAGCCATGTTGAGACTGATAGGAGGAGAGACATGAAACAAATTAGTCAAAAACCTGCATGTGACCACTAAAAATAGGGAGGGATATCTCAGCTGCAAAGGTTCCCCCCTGAGGAGTGAGGGGTCCCAACTCCTCACCAGACCATGGTTCCACTGCTGGAGAGAGAAGTTCCCAGAAATTCTGGTTGGGAAAACCAGAAGAGATTCTCAGACAGTGAAATGGGGAGCAGCTGCATTCCCAGGGGCTCCTCTTAAAGGGCCTACACATAGATTTACTCATTGACGGGCTCACTCTCTTTGAACTCCAGCACTGGGGCAGCAGCTGGGAAGTTTCCAGGAACATATGGGGAGGAAATGATTTGTCTAGCTTCAGGGCTAGGGCTGGAGGGGCAGCTTTCTCCCAGACAAAAGTGCTGGCAGAACCCATTGTTTCCTTGTCCAGCCCAACACCCTCTGGGCATGTGGGCATGGACAACCACAAAATATGAGTCCCCATCAACCTGGCTAACACCATTACTTCACTCTACCCTGGTGATACCCTAAGACCCTGGCCCATCCAACTTTCAGGCACACCCAAGCTACTTCCAGTGTTTTTTTTTCCATACAAATGGCTTGTTTGGACTCATGATATGGGCTTCCCTAAAATCTCATAAACATTCACAAAACCTAAACAAGCAGCATGTGGCTTTGGTGTGTTTCATACATCTTGCTGAATAGCTCTAAGCCCAGTACTAGTGGCAGCCAGCCTCAGCTCCAGGCTTGGCCTCTCAAAGAACCTCCAAGCTCAGCGTGGATGGTGGACATTTGTGGATTGTGTTGTGGATCATACCAGGTGGCTCTGGACAGTGCACAGGATGCTGCTGAATTTGGCCTGTGGTGGGGTCCCTTGCAGGAGGCCCTGGGACTGACATACCCAGTGGCCAGCTTGAGACTGAGTTAGAAAATCATCCAACTGCCTCTGCAGATGACACACCCAAAGCGCAGACTGGGCAGGCATGAGAGCCCTGCTAAAGCAAATCCTGCTCTATAGGGTCAGCCCCTGCACAACAGCTCCTCTACTCTAGTAATGACCAGCACTCACAATCAATCAGCCAAAAGGTCAATCCTTCCCACTGATGTGCGAATAGCAACCGAGACTCATCTACACAGCCTACACAAGGGACACACCTGGAGACTGTGAGACTAGGACCCACAGGACCCCTACTACATAAGGCCACTGTACTAAGATTGGGAAACATTGCAGCTCTGTTTCTAATACATAGAAACAAACATAGGGAAGCAGCCAAAACGGGGAGATAAAGGAACATGTCCCAAACAAAAGAACAAAACAAAGCTCCAGAAAAAGAACTAAATGAAATGGAGACATGCAATCTACCAGATGCAGAGTTCAAAACACTGGTTATAAGAGTTATCTCAGGGAGGGTGTCAAGAAAAAGGTAGAAAACATAAAAATTAAGATAGAAAACATAAAAAAGAACCAGTTAGAAATAAGAAATACAATAGCTAAAGAGAAGACTATACTGCAAATAATCAATAGCCGATTAGACAAAGCACAGGATTGAATCAGTGATTTAGAATATAAGGTTGCAGAAAACACCCAATTAGAACAGTAAAAAGAAAAAAAATACAAAGAAAACACCATGAGAATATTTTAAGGAACCTCATGGACAATATCAAGCACACCAACATTTGTATCATAGGGGTACCAAAAGGAGAAGAGAGGCAGCAAGAAATTGAAAACCTATTTGAAGAAATAATGATGAAAAACGTATCTACCCTGGTGTGGAAATAGACATACAGGCTCAGGAAGCACAGAGAATCCCAAACAAGATGAACTCAAATAGGCCAATACCAAAAGTCATCATAATTAAAGTGTCAAAGCTTAAAGACAAAGAATCTTAAAAGCAGCAAGAGAAAAGCAGTTACATACAAGGGAGCTCCTATAAGACTGTTAGTTGATTTCTCAACAGAAACTTTTCAGGTCAGAAAGGATTGGCACAATATATTCAAAGTGATGAAAAGCAAGGACATACAAGCAAGATTACTGTACTCAGCAAAGCTATCATTTAGAATCAAAGGACAGATAAATAGCTTCCCAAACAAGAAAAAGCTAAGAATTTATAACCACCAAACCAGTATTACAAGGAATGTTAATGTTAGAAGGACTTATTTAAGACAAAAAAAAGATAAAAATATGAATAATAAAATGGCAATCATTACATATCTTTCAATGATTATTTTAAATGTAAATGGATTAAATACTTCAATCAAAAGATAAGGTGGCTGAATGGATAAGAAAACAAGACCCTTACATATGCTGCCTACAGGAGACTCAGTTCAGATCAGAAGACACACACAGAATGAAAATAAAAGTATGGAAAATGGTATTACATGAAAATGGAAACAAACAAACAAAAAGAAGCTAGAGTAGCAATATTTATAGCAGACAAATGGACTTTTAAACAAAGGCTATAACAAAGGACAGAGGAGGAACCAGCAATCCTACTTCTGAGTATTTATCCAAAGAAACCCAAAATGCTACTTCAAGGGGACATGTGCATCCATATGTTCATTACAGCATTGTTTATAGTGGCCAATGTGGAGGCAGCCTGGCTGTCCATTGATGGATAAATGGATAAAAAGGAGGTGGTACATATATACAATGGACTATTGCTCCTCCAGGGAAGGGAATGTGTTCTTGCCATTTGCAATGGCATAGTTAGACCTGAACAGTCTATCTATGAGATATGTATTGCTATCCACATTTTAAGGATAAAGGAATCAGAACTTAGAATCATTTAACAAGTGGCTTGAGATCAAAAGCTAATAAATAGCAGGATCAGTCTCTGAATCCAGGTATGCCTGAAACCAAAACTCAGCTGTTTCAGGTTGACTTTCTTTGGCATGTACAGGGCCAGATAATACCATTATACATATCTATGCATATCTCATTAAATGCAAGTACACCTATAATGAGTTTAATTATTGGTATGTTGGTAAATCTTTTAACATCTCCAGTTGGGGAGGAGTCCTGGTCTAATGTTTGCCTATTTTTGTGGTGTAAATATTACCATCATGGCCAATATCAAGTTGCCAACATGACTACCAATTGTGGAGTTGATAAAAGGTGTGCATACCAGTGTACTGTATTTCCACAATGCAGATACAGCAGATGTAAATAGCTTCAAGAGCAAAATAATTAGGAAATTATGAACCCTGAGGATTTATTCCCCTGGTTTTCAACATGATTTATTTAATTGTAAATGTCTATATTTTATTGATTTATTTTTAATAATGGTTGTGTGCTAAACAAGTGACTCACAGAATCCTTGAAAATTTAAAAGTTGGCATTTGACAGCTTACATAAGATACCTTCAATATACCACTAGACATTAACACACTGTA